CCGTAGATTTTCCAAAAGTTCTCGAAGAAATATTTTTTGTTATACTTTTCGTTGAACTTTTTGTGTTTATATTATTTTTCGTTATGACATTTTTTTTCTTGATTGATGGCAAGTTTTTGTTGCTTTCTTTTCCCTGAGATTCGCTTAAATTTAAGTTCGAAGTTTTCTTTGGCATTTCTTTTTTGGTACATTTGTTGAATTGTTTGGATGATATTTATTTGGTGGTGAGAAGTTGAGGTCTGGTGAAGAAGAAAAACGTAAGGTTTTCTTCATTTTTTTTTAAGTTAAATCATAAAGCTCTAAATACCTTTTTTATAGAAATCCAAAATTTGTTTGTAAAAATCTTCCACTAAAATTTTGATCTTTAAAGAATTTCTTCATGACAATTTAAATGCCAAATTTTACAATAATAATTTATTAACTTTCTAGATTGTCAAAAAGTTTTTCTTTTGTTAGAAATTTTTTTTAATTTGATCTTAATTCCTTCCCCTCAACCACATTCGAACTTATAAACACTATTAGAAAAATATTTAAAAACAAGAGAATTGAAAGAGATCATCAAAAATTCAAAAGAATTCTTATTAAGAAAAGAAATACAGGATATAATAACTACGAGTTGGTCTTGGATAAAATTTTGGAGTCAATAAGCGATGAATATGATGATGCAATGGCAATTATGAAATTAAGCTATAAAAGCAGAAATTTGTTGTGAAGAACAGAGAGAAGCAACACAAGAAAGATGAGACAACGAGGTGCTGATGTTCTCATTGATACCAGTGAGGCATAGAAGATACTGCTCATAGATATAGGGAAGTGTTGGAAGTTGGAAAGTGGCGCATAAGACATAATTTCAAGCTCTACTCAACATACAGAGAGCCTGATGGTGTAGCTTTTATAAAGATCTGTCGCCTGCGCTGGATTGGTCACGTCCAGAGAATGAAAAACGACGACACCTCCAAGAAAATATCAACCCAACCCAACCAAACCCTTTTTTTAATTTTCTTTATACAGGAGGATAAAGCACTCTCTAAAAAACCTCCTGTAATAACTTCGGCATATGTCACTGTATCACTGTTTCTCAAACCGAGGGTCCCATCTCTATTTTCTCCCTCATATTCTTCTCTTTCTCTTTCATCCTATGTCTTGTCTTGTTCATCATCTCCTCTGCCATTTCTCGTCTTTCGCAGTCGTTCCGGTAGAAAAGAATTTTTTACATTAAATTAATTATGGCAGTTTGCTCAATCATTTTGACGGAAAAAGATTAATCTATTAACTTTTTGAATCTTATTAGTTATTTCTACCTGTCTGGACGAGGTGAGCAAACCCCCTCTCGCTCCTCTTCTTTCCAATTCTTGTTATTTCCATCCTTTTCTCACTGTTCCGGACGTTTTTCATCACCACGCTTTCTCCTTACACTCTTTCGTATGACTCACCCTTTTCACATATATCTCCACAGTTTCCCATTTTTCCTCGCTTTGGAGCATAGTGTCTGTGGTGTTTTGGCGAAGTTAATTCCCTCCCCAATTTGGAGTTCATTTCCCTCCATCTTGGACAGTGATAAAATGTACGTTCCACATTGTCCCTCTGCCCACAATACACGCAATGATCATTTTCTGCTCTTTTATGTACTACTTACGTACTATATGTTTACTCAATAACTGTGCCATGAACTAGTTCACTTCTCCTCACTTTCTTTCCAACCACGATGTTATTTCAGGCATCAAACTTTTAATCCAGCTCGCCTTTCCAGTATCGTTCTTTAATCTTTCTCGCCACACTGTCTTGATCTGTTCCTCCACCTCTTCCCTGTCCTCTTTCCGAGCTATCCTTTTCTTAACCATTAACTCCATGGGCGGTGAGTTCCCCAGTACCTGCAGTGCCTCTGTCGAGATCGTTCTGTACCCACTTATTATGCGTATCAGCATTTGTCTCTGTATTCTTGTTAGATACTTATTAAGTTTTTTTTCCAAAGCCTTATGCCACTTGGGTCCATATGTCGATCCCATGACCCTATTCATCGCTTGAACAGTTTTTTGAGCTTTTCTACATACAGTGTGTTAATTAATTATCGTACCTGACGTCATCATTGCAAGTATGCAACCAATATCACAGTGGTACCAATATCACGCGCGATTTGCGTATTACAATACCAATACTGTGATTTAATTAAACACTGTATGTACACCCAGATACTTCACGCTGTTTTTCGATTTAATTTGGTGACCTTTTATATTTATTTATATTTGTTACATACACTGATCTATTGTGTGTGTATAGGTGTACCTGGAAACACCCGTGTTCACTCATAAGCCGGGTTAGGAAATAATTTATCTTTTCCATCTTCTTGTTATCTATGGCGTTAGTTTTGGTAATAGTCTTTTATCTCGTTTTTATGTTGGGATTCTTCCATCAACGCCTTTTTTTTTTTGGTCGTCAGATCTATTGGTAGCGTGTCTCCCAGCACCAATAGGATTTTTGTTGATATTGTCGGATAGCGCTTATTAGGACTCATCTTTGTATTCGGTGTTACCCCCGCAACCCTCACCAGGGTGCTGTTGGGCCCACGCCATTGTTCACCCTAGCCACCCTTGGGGTTAAAAGAAGGGTAAGGGCAAAAAGAAGAAAGTTCCAACCGAACAGCGACATCAGTATAAGTAGAAGATCAGAAGACCGCCTGAAGATTCGAAGATCACGGCGCCTACCTGCGGTGCTCTTCGTCCACCATCATCGCCGTACCCTCATGTATTAGCATATAATCCTTGTAAATATCCCTTCTATATAACTTGTAAATAAACATATTCAAAAACTAACCGTCTGCTTTTAACAACAACGCCCACGGTAACACCGGGCAAGCTTTTCCAGAACCGTATAAGACTTGGGAGTGGATCACTGATCCAATCATCTTCCTTCTTTCGGCGCTCTGCCCATAAGTGGAGCCCATAATTCTATTTAGGCCATAACTGTCCTTTGTGTCTTGATATTTTATGGACCTTTTTGATTCTACTTTGATGTTTATCCTAGCTTCACATTCACATCTTCTGCTTTTTAGTATTGCGACTTCCGATTTTTTCGGGACTATGTCCAAGCCCATCTCTTCCATTTTATGTGTTAGTCTGTTCAATATTGCCTCAGCNGCCCCGATGTAAGTATACTCCCCTGCTTTTTAGTATTGCGACTTCTAATTTTTTCGGGATGATGTCCAAGCCCATCTCTTCCATTTTATGTGTTAGTCTGTTCAATATTGCCTCAGCCATTTATATCAGTTCCTCGATCTCCCATCCGCTCACTATCACCGCAAGGTCGTCCGCGTACGCTACCTACTTAACTCCTTCCTCTTCCTGTTCATGTTCCAAAAGCTGATTGAAAAACACGTTCCATAGAATCGACCCCAAGATGGACCCATGGAGAAATCCGCTACTGATCAGATAGAGTCGTCATATTCTATAAATATTTCGCTAAGATAACCTTTGATGATGTTCAGCAGATTTTTTGACATTTACTTATTTAGTGTCTCGTCTTTACGTCCACTGTGATTAGAAGGCATTTTCGTCTAGCCTCTCCTAACACCACTTCTAAGGTGTTAACCGTGGATCTACTCTTTAGGAAACCGTACTGCGATTTTGACAGTTTTTCCTGTAGCTTTTCCTCTAGTCTATTCTTTATAATGACTTCATACAGTCAAAATGTTCGGAAATATATTATTTTTTAAGTGGTCATAGTACATTTTTGTCATTTTTTCAATCCATGAACTAACAGTGTCCTTGACAATGATCTTATCCATTTTTTTGCTTGTTAGCGAGGTTTTTATCTCCTCTGTAGTGACCCCTCGGCACTCAGGTTCATTTTCTATGTCCTCCTTCCATCTGGGAACAACTCTTCAATTAGTGTCTTGACTTCTTCCTGGTCTAGTGTTACTTTAGCAATGTTTTTTGTCTTTAAGTGCTTGTTTCGCTTTCTCGTATCCTCTATGTGCCTTCATTTTTTCTGATTCGTTATTGGTTTTTGCATTAGCTTTGGTTAAGGTGCGTGTGTTTGTGGCTTTCTCATTGGCTTTTTTGACTGTATCATTCCACCAGTATAAATTACCCTGTCTTGATCCTGTTTTTGTCATCTTGCCGTAAGTTTCATTGCAAGTGTTTGTCGTTATTGATGTCAGCAGTTCCGACGGAAGCAAGTCTATTGGTTGTAGCTTTTCTTGGATTTTGCCTTAGTTTTTCTCTCCGCTTTCTTTCCCTCTGTGTTCCTCACAGTTCCTCACACTTTTAATCAGTTTTTCGTTACACATCGTTATGTCTATGTGGGCTTCTTGTTTTCCTCTTCTCCATGTTAGTCTATTTCCCTTGTTCACAACTATTAATCCTTTTTCTGTCATCCACTCACATAGAACTGTTCCTCTCTTTTCTTCATTGTTGGAACCCCATGCAGCGGACTTGGCATTAAAATCACCTACTACAATGATATTCTACTTGTCTCTTCCTTTCCCTTGGTAAACCCTTCTTCTCTTGGTAACTGGCACAAAAAGTACTCAGGTTCTTCTCATTACTTTCTAGTTTCCTTTGTTTCGTTTAATTTTCATACACTTGCTCGCTTTTTTGTTCCTGCATGTTATCTTGTATGATTTCCTGAATTGTCCTTCGCATGTTCTTCGTTTCCTTGTGGCACTACTACTCTAGTTTTGTCATTTCTACTATCTTTCTTTCTTTCCTGTTCTTGGCTTCTATGCTTCCCCTTCTCCTTTTTTTGTTCTGTCATCATACTTCTGTATAACCCAACCCAACCCAACCCAACCTAAGAGATGCACCTGTTATAGGCAACCCCAAAAGCATCTAGAGATATGGTCCAAGGTCGTTATATAAATAAATAACTTCAAGGAAATTTTACAGTATGTGATATCAAAAACGCTTATAATTTATTAAAAAGTTAATAAAAAAGTTTAATTTTTTTTACTAAAATGACTTTATTTTATATCTGTCATTTTTTTAAAATCAAAATTTGAAAGAACGTTTGTCAAAATGTCACGTAAATATTTCTAAAATATTTTATTTTCTGTTTTTTTTGGTTCAAAACCGTAAATTTATGTCTTAAAATCGGACCCCACAAAAACTGATGTCTTAAAGGTTTAAAGATTGAGCAAGAGAAACATTTCACTCCCACGTCATGAGAATTAATTATGAGCAGTACCGAATCAGGGGGTCGCAATGTAACGATACAAACAACATTAAGAGTTGCTGAAGCTGAAGGTCACGAATTAATCGTCGTCAGCGATCGAGGCTGCCAAACTATAGCGACCTTTCATCCTGACGCCGACTTAGCTGCTATCGTTCCTTTACTGGAATACACCCCATTTAGCGAAATTGCAAATAATTCTATTAAGGTTATAGATCTACCAAAGAAGAATCAAATACAATTTGAAGAACTTGGTGAAGGTGAAGGTGAATTATCAGCAAGTCGAAAAGGGTCTAGCGAAGGTGCTTTAAAAGGTGCTTTGAAAAAATCTAATGAAACTTTTGAAGGGTTAGAAGAAGAAGATATTCAAGAAGGTACTCAAGAAGATATTCAAGAAGGTACTCAAGAAGATATTCCAGAAGCTAATCCAGAAGATACTCCAGAAGATACTCCAGAAGGCGAAGAAATTCCAGAAGGAGAAGAAAATCCGCCTGAATAATAAATTGCTAATTAAAATTTCAAAATGAGTAAAACTAAGATTAAAACGGAAACGGATTGCCAAACGGATATTACCGTTAATCCACCAATTCTCGATGAAGATCAAGTTGCTCAAGTTTGTACTCAAGTGGGATGTCAAACTTCGTTAATTTTCCAACCGGATGATTCACTAACAGTTGTTATGCCAGAACTAACAAGATATGTTTCCCATGATAAAGTATTTCAATCATTGGTTGTTGATGGAAAAATTGTTTTTGATCATCCCCATGCAGCTGTGACGACTGATGATGAAGGAGAAGGTGAAGAAGGAGATGGCGAAGATGGAGAAACTGGTTTTGTAGAAGGCTTAGAAGCTGGTGAAGGTACTGTTGATCAACCTCCAGCAGACTCTCAAAAACCAACCGGTGGAGATTTTCTTGCAAATATGTCACCAGAAGAGTTTGAAAAAAATGTCCAAAAAATCTTAGATAATACCGTGAAGAACGTTTATGAATTTATGGCAAAAATCGTAGAAATGTATGAAAAATCAAAAGACCCAGCTGTATTTGCAGAAATGTTAAGAAGACAACAAGAAGGTATATTAAGTGATGCAGATGAAGAAGAGGGTGAAGAAGAAGAATCAGAGGAAGAAATTGAAGATGAAACATCGCGAAGAAAACGTGCTTACGAATACCTTGAGAAATGTCTTAACGGGGAAATTCCCGAAGATCGTTTTGAAGTAACCGATAACGGGGATGGAACCAAGATTTATCGAATCAAAAACGAAGACGACACAGAAGTTGTACTTGAAGAAAAACTCGAAATTCGAAGCATTAAAGGAGACGAAGACGAAGATGCCGAAGCAGCACCAAAAGGTAACAAAGAAAAAAATTACTTTTTCAAACTAATTTTGTTTTGTTCCTGTTTGAAAAGACGACAACTTTGAACTTAGCGAAAAACTCATGAACATCCATAAAGGCGCATTACCCGAAGATCAATACACAGAAGTTGTAAACCCAGATGGAACAAAATCGTTTCGATTAAAAATGATCCGCGAGAAAAAATTCGAAATTGTTGAAACTGTTGATATCATTTCACCGAGAAAACCAGAAAAACGTAGAACACGTGATGATGAAGCTTTAGAGGAAGGTGAAGCTGAAGAAGGTGAAGCTGAAGAAGGTGAAGGTGTGCTAGATGAAGAAGCAATACTAGATGAGGAAGTAATACTCGAAGAAGCACCATCAGATGAAGGTGGGGATCAAATGGGAGATACCCAAAATATAAGACAACCAATCGAAATCGAATGTGAATGTGGAAAAGTCCACGACGCGGGAGCTGCTCCACCAATTTTAACAGTCGGCGATAAAAAATTAAGGTTAGAATTTAAAATGGACGGTCCGAAAAGCATAGAAGAAACATTAGACGGCATGAAAGTAAAAGCAACCATATCAAATACGAATCAAACTGCACCAGCTGATAAAACAATCGTCGTTTCATTTAATCTCGGCGATCCCAAAGATGCTGAGATACCACTTTGTAAATGTAGGGGAGGTTTACCCGATGATATTTGCAGTTGCATTTCATCCGATAATGATAAAATAATTATATGTGATTGTGATCCACCGAAAAAGGATGAATCAACTGATTGTACATGTAGTGAAGAGGATGTAGTGGTGGATACGCCGCAAAATGTGTGTTGTACTTGTGCGGTTCCGACGAGTAATCAACAAACTGCGTCGACGAAGGTTTGTAAAAATTCGTATTCTAATAAACGTCCTTATTGATCCAAATCGAAGACTTAAATCATTACGGGGATGTTATGGGTGTGTCAATATGAATCGATAAATTTCAAATTTAAATCTTAATATTAATACGGAATTTATTAGTTCATTTTGACACACCTTTGAATGTAGATGTATACAGGGTGTTTACTTTCGGGGTGTTTTCGTTAAATACATTTTTTACAACATTTGGAATTCTGGCATACACATTTCGAAGTGTGACGAAGTGTGATGAATCGAAGGAGTGACTCATGGAGTTAATTTAGGAATATTTTGTCATTTGATGATTTTCGGAAGGTAAACGATTTGTCATTTTTCATTCTTTGAAAGTCTTAGCACAAGTACTATTACAGTGGGAGTTATGGGTCCGGAGAACTAAAATGCATGCTGCCGGATGGTAGTTTACCACTCTTCATCCTGTTTAGGTAATAAAACATTATTTTAGTTCAAAAAAACTTCCGAAAATCAAAAATTAATGACAAAAAATTTCTGTTTTTTTTTTTGTAAACATCCTGAATATATCATTTTTCAATTACTATAATTATTGTAAATAACACATTAATATTTCAATTTTGTTTGATGCTCCAACAATAATCTGATATAATACATTACATACATTAATAATAGATGTTGAGAAAGAAATAGAAGAAGAAATAAATTAGGGACATTTTTGATACCAAAGACGATGATGAAGAAGACCAGGGACGATATTCAAGGATGTCAAAGACGATGTTTAACAATATTAGGGATGAGATAAATGTTGGGAATTTGTCTGGACATAGAGAGATATTAGGAATTATGTTAAGATGTGTCAGAAACGATGTTGAGAGATATCAGGGATAATGCATAAAGCTGTCAAGGATTATTGATGATGAGGATGCAGTTGAGAAAGACCAGGACAGTGTTGAGAGATGTTAGGGATATTGAAGGAATAATGTTGAGAAGTATCTGATTGCACATTGGGAGATATCAAATAGGAATAAGGCAAGAATCGTCTGGAGATATTTATTTATTTACTTTCATGGGACACAGCACAGGACAAACTCAATTCAAGCTGTGCCACTAAAAAATGATGTAAGCGAAAAAGTGATGTAAGCGAAGATGATTATAAATATTGTGAATTATTTTATATAGAACTATTATATCAACAGCAAGTCGCCGCTGGCCGAGTCGTTAATACTGGAAAGATTGGCATGTCGAGTCGTAGTCAACATAGGCAGCATGAGATTTCCAGCATAAAGTCGTTCCACGAATATATCATATTGTAGATACCATACAAGAGTGCAGTAATTCAAAATGTTAAATACGTAGAGTTCGCCGACCCCGATTTAGTAAGAGGAGGCATCACAAATATACTTACCAACTTCGTTAGAGGTGCTCCCTTCTTCTCCCAAACAGATAAATTTATATTGAATATAAAAAGGGAGACCTCCAGGTTCTTAAAAAATTGTGATCCCTCTGATCCTCTCATTATCACGTCTGCTGACAAAAAACCATGTACCTCCAAAAAGCCAAAAAGTGTTCCTCTCTGATGAGGTTACCTATAAGAAGCTCCCCAGGAATCCCACAACTTCTACACAAATTAAAAATAATAAATACATACAAAGGCTGAAAGAGTTGCAGTGCATCGATACTAGAATGGCAAAAACCCTTACTTGCCATAACGGTGTTACCCCCAAGCTTTATGACCTTCCAAAGGTACACAAAGAAGATTGTCCTCTCAGACCGATTATCTCCTTCGTTGGCTCACACACGTATGCCTTGTCCAAGTAGTTGCCTTCAACAACTGGACCTCTCTTAATATACAAGATTCTTATACCTTCGTAGAGGAGATTTCCTAGATCAAGCTCCCGCTGGACCACGTTTTGGTTTCATTGGATGTGGTTTCCTTGTTCACAAATATACGTATGGACTTGGTTACCCATATTATCAGTAGAGAATGGGACCGTGTAGCTCCACACACCCCCATAGCAAAAAATCTCTTTATGGAGATTATCGAATTTCTCTTCACTTCTTCCACATTCTCCTTTCAGGAAGAATTCTATCAACAATTGTTTGGTACTCCGATGGGCAGCCCCTTGAGCCCGATATTGGCCCAGATAGTGATGGATGATTTAATCACCAATTCCATCTCCAAATTAAATTTTGGTCTTTCCTTCATCTATAAATATGTGGACGACATTGTTTGTTCCATCCCCTCCGATGCCCTCGATGCGGTAGTTATAATGAAAGGCTTCAATTCACTATAGAAACCGAATCCTCTAAGTCTGTTCTCTTCCTAGACTGCCTGGTCATTCGTTGTGATTTAAAAATAACATACGGCTAGATACATTAACTTTTTATTCTAATCACCCATTACACCAAAAAACCAACACGGGTGTTGCCATGAGGGATAGAATCAGTAAGATTTGCCACCCCCGTTTTGTGGAAAAAGACCTTCAATTGTTGACCAATATGTTCTGCAACAACGGTTTTCCAAGACCACTAGCGAATAGACTATTATATTCAACCCCCAGGAGACTTGACACATCTCTAACAAGTCCCCCCACAACTGAAGAGAGACCCAGTTTCTCACTTCTGCCCTTCATTCATCAACTTGCCCCTAAGTTGACCATACTGTTGCACACGGGCCATGTCAAGAGAGCGAAATTTAATTATAGACCTCTCAGGTGCCACTTCTCTAACTTGAACGACCCGACCCCCACAGATCTTAAATCTAATGTCATTTATAAAATTCCTAGCAGCACGAAGCTGACTGTAGAAATCTTCGAGTTAACAAATCGGCACTAGTCAACCATTACATCGATACAGGCCATAGATTTGATTTCGGTGATACCTCTATTTTGTTTCAAGAAAACAAATTCAGGAAATGTCTCTATAAACTAAAAGGTTGCGTCCGTTAACTCAAGAACAGACTTTCAAAACCTTAGTGTTATTTACAGACATTTACTCTCTATGTGAGATATAGGACGTAGTGGTGATTTCTCTGAAATTTCGTTTTAGGGTTTTTTAGGATTCTTGGACTGCTTGAGTTTGCAGTTTCCTATATTACCTTCCTTCTTGTTTTTAATTGGTTGGCACTCCTGAATTAAGTGGAAAACTCCCACGGTTTTTCGTGATTTCTAGGTTATGCCACTCCGACTTGCACCTTGCACTGTGTATGTCGACTCCGACTTTTAACTCAGTTTGACTTCAATCAACTCCTTGCTTTCGGTGAACCTTCATCTGTGATGGGCTGTTTACACCCAGTTGTGCGCTATTTTTCATAAGTTTTAGAGGTTAACCTCAATTTTGTTGTTTCATTGAATTTTATTGTAGACTGTAATGTTCTGAAGAAAAAGCGTCTTATTCAGCACCTTGCCGATCAATCCCAGTACTAATTTTTCGAAAGCTAACATAGTACGGCAAATACTACCACACTACGTTAAATACGTACGTATAATAGAGAATCATTAATGAATTAGTGTCAGCAAAATCAGCGGCTGATCTCATGACGAATCCAAGCATACGAAAAGCCTTGCCAACCACCAAATCGACGTGCTCACTGAATAATAGGTTACTATCAAACATCACGCCCAAATCCCTTATAGAAGTAACCTCGTTCAATAACTTTCCTCCAATGATGTAGTCAAAGCGTATAGGAGCAGGCTTGTATGTGTATGTAGTTTCATGTGAGGTTGGTTAAACCACAGGTGGTATAACCAAAGCACTTGGGCCCCAAGTGTCCCTTTGTACATCCCCACGGTTTACTTTGGCCATGTGTAGGTCTATTTGGAGGAGTGAAAGATGTTCGAAAATGGCATCCGATCAGTCTGATAGCGCTTCTCGCCTTGCCTTCAGCCGGGCTGGTATTCCAACGCCCAGCAATTTGAAGACGACCCCCAAGCCGTGCTGGTACTCCAACGTCCAGAAACTTGGGTGCATGGCTGAGTACCGCTCAAAGAGCGCAGACGCGCTTTCAACCCGTTTTTACGTTCACAACCTCCAACTACACATGTATCTGACGACAACCAGAGATGTTAGACAGGTTGCCGGGACCGACGGCTTAACGTCCCCTCCGAAGGACGGTAGGACCAGGCTTTTTTGTAAAAGTAATTGTAAAGCATTTGCTATAATTTATGGTGATGAAGTTTGGAAAACAATATTGAGCAAGTTCTCGCTGAAGAGCAGAACAGTCTCTGGGATTAGACACGGGTCAGGAGATCTTTAGATGATCATCTGCATACATTAAACAGCGTGTTTAAAACACTTAAATATGTTATTAATACAAATATTGAGAAGCAAAGGTCCAAGAATGCTTCCCTGAGGGACGCCTAACTCTAACCGACTGCGTCCTATCAGCCACATGGGAAGCAAACCACTGTTGAATGCTGTAGTGTAAACATAAACCAACATGTTCAATTTCTTTTAAGCAAGAGCAGATGATCAACTTTATCAAAAGCTGTACTAAAATCAGTGTATACAGAATCCACCTGACAACTATCATCAAAAAATGCAAAATGTAATTAATATATTCGAGAAGAATCCATGATGTCGAGGTTCTAAAATATTTTTTACAGTGGAAAAGTTAGGCTTGTAAATTAAGCTCTCAAGGACCTTGCCGAAAATGAGCAATAAAGAAATTGCTCTATAAGTTTCAACTAAGCTTCTACACCCAGATTTGAAAATAGGCATCATGTGGCCTGTTTGCAGATTAGCGGAAAGACACAGTCTTTCAGAAATCTATTGACCAGGATTGATAATGGTTCGCACAACAGTCTCTATTATTAAAGATGTTATTAATATTAAATATTGAAAAGCAAAAGTCCGAGAATGCTTCCCCGAGGGACGCCGGACGAGACTGACACCGTCTGCGAGGAAAAATCTCTACCTTTAACCGACTGCGTCCTATCACCCTCATAGGAACCAAGCCACTGTTGAATGCTGTAGGGTAAACCAACATGTTCAATTTTTTCTAGCAAGAGCAGATGATCAACTTTATCAAAAGCTTTACTAAATCAGTGTATACAGAGTCCACCTGACAGTTGTCATCAAAAGAATGCAAAATGTAATTAGTATATTCGAGAAGATTGGTCTCTACAGACCGACCAGCCAAAAAATCCATGTTGTCGAGGTTCTAAAATATTTTTTACAATGGAAAAAATAGGCTTGTAATTAAGCTCTCAAGTACTTTGCCGAAAATGAGCAATAAAGAAATTGCTTTATAAGTTTCAACTAAGCTTCTACACCCAGATTTAAAAATAGGCACCATAGTGGTCTGCTTCCAGATTAGCGGAAAGACACAGTCTTTCAAAGATCTATTGAACAGGATTGATAACGGTTCGCTAAGAGATTCACAGCACAACAGTCTCTAGGATTAGACACACGGCAGAAGGTCTTTAGATCATCTGCATACATTAAACAGTTAGCGGATTTAAAACACTTAAATATGTTATCAATATAAATATTGACAAGCAAAAGTCCAAGAATGCTTCCTTGAGGGACGCCGGATGAGACTGACACCGTCTGCGTGGAAAAATCTCTACCTCTAACCGACTGCGTCCTATCAGCTACATAGGCAGCAAGTCACTGTTAAATGCTGTAGGGTAACCAACATGTTCAACTTTTTCGTTTGTTCCACTTTTGATAGTGGAAAAAAAAGGCTTGTAAATTAAGCTTTCAAGGACCTTGCCGAAAATGGGCAACAAAGAAATTGTTCTATAGTTTTCAACTAAGCTTCTACAGCTAGATTTAAAAATAGGCATCACAGTGGCCTGCTTCCAGATTACCAGGAAGACATAGTCTTTCAAAGATCTATTGAACAGGATTGATAACGGTTCACTAAGAAATTCACAGCATTTTGTTATAATAATAGGAGGTATGCCGTCACCACTTGACCCTCCGGAAGGGTTAACGACTCTAACAGCTTTCCAACCGTTGCTACTGCTCGAGATCCGCGAAGTATTAAGTACTGAGCCAAAATAACGAGAAAAAAGGTGTAGCAGTAACACCGTCAAACATAACTTCTGCAGGCAAGTCACTTGTCGCGCGCTTAGCTCTAACAAATGACCAAAACCTTTTGGGATCATGCCGTATACTACTCTCTGCACTGACAATAAAATTGCGGTAATCACGATCGAAAAGGAACTTTGAGTGATTACTCAAAAGGGAAAAAGTTATATAGTCGAGGTGCCTTAAGTGATCCACATACTATTAAGTGATACATAGTGATTTCATCAAAGGATGCCATTTTAAAATTATGGTATATTGGTTCACTATAGTGGGAGGGATAAATTTCTAGGAATTAAGAATTTGCATGTTATATCTAGCATAGTATGAGCATGGTCCTCCGGCACCAAAACATGATCACCCAAATCCACGTCACAATGAAATACAGGAAAAAACAAGATCAAGGATGTGCCGCATTCATTACAATGATGATTTAAATAGGATAAACCAACCAAGGAGACGTAATCCAAGAACTCTGTAGCTCTTGCAGAAGTAGCTCTGAACAAAAGAGGAATCCATCATTGGGGTACAAAATCGCGAGAGTGCAACATTGTCACATAGCCATTAGACAACGCAACGCACACTCCGTACTGAAGATCATTTTAGACACAAAGCCAAGAACACACCACCTCTATATTTATAACCTTTTTCTTTACCCTTGTCCTAATGGCGTCGAACAGTTTTCTATTCGCTACAGTAAGGTGTTCATTGATGAATATTGCTGTGATAGGCCATCATCAATCAAAAATCCGGACGGGAACCCTTCCGAAGGGAGCAGCGGCGAGTAAAGAATCACGTTTGGTACGATTGCAAAAACGCATAACGATGTTTTTTGGCCGACTCCTATGGCCAATGTGAGGTACGCGATGTATGGCATCAATATCATAAGATTCTAACGGAACCTCAAGAAAGCCTAATTTTATTCATAACATCGACAATGTTTTCGTTGGCTGTCTCAGGTACGCGCTGTATTTCGGGATTGCTAGGTCTGGTGTACTGTTCTAATTGTAAGTCCGCAACTCTAACGATTCTAAAGACTATCAATTACTATGCACTTTTCCTTGAGAAATTTCTCAAAATTTGCACCGCTAACGAAAGAACGAACTGCACGAGACGCATCCGAACACACTTGTTACATATGATACAATCAATTTTGATGGCAAAAACGATTTTAGACTTTTTTTGGTAACTTGACATTGGCCCAGTTTCATTTTAGACAATTTTTGAAATTAGGACTTTGTCCAGAAAGAGTTTAAAAATTTTTTTGCCGCTTGCTGTTTTGGTATTGCAGTTTAATGAAATAAAATAATAATAATTTAAAATTAATTATTTAATTTTAATTTATTAATTCATTAATTTTCTGCTACAGGTTCCAGATCAATGTGTTCCAACATGCATCGGGAAAGGCATCTCTTCAAATCTTGCTCAATCATTAAGAGAACAACTCACCGAAAAAACAGAAAATTATTCTTGTCAATGTGGTAAAACTCATTCAGCGAATTGTCTGGGAAAAGCGGGAAATACAGGACAAACTGGTTATAAAACGGGTGGATCTTTATGTTCATGTGAATCAACTGACCAGAAAAGAGTTGGAACTGAATGCTCATGCGATCAGATCCAACCGAAAATATGTGATAACAGCGTAGATAAAGTTGTGAATACATTGAAGCAACAAAGTTTTAAAGACCCACAACAATTGGATCAGCATCTAAAAGGATTACAGCCGCTATTAAGAGGAATTTCAATGCAAAGTTACGTAAATACGTCAAGTCAAAAATGTGTTTGCGTCAGTTCGGTTCAAGTGATTTACAAAAAGTCTGAGAATGTTAACAAAGCTTGCGATTGTGACATGAGAATTGGAATCGGTATTGGAACTAATCCGGATGCACCGCCTTTATACCAACGAGATACCGATTATCAAGAAGGTTATTATGACGAATTCGATGTTGATAATGATAAAACAGCGAAAGGAATTAATTCCCTTCCGGATGTTTACAATGAAAGTACCCGTTGCGGAGATCGAACCGAATTACCTTGGATGAAAATGGCTTTACCACCACCCGGAACTATCCAAATCAAAAAAGTTAAGAAGAAAAAATGTGATTGTCAGCAAAAAGTTGAGGAAAAAGCACGCGATAAATTGGTTGGTTTATGTTGTACATGCGATATAATCCCAAAACCCGATAAAGCAGCTGAAGTCATAAGTGAAAAATCATCAGAAGGACTTGAACCTCAACAATCAACAGAACATCACCCAGATTGCCCATGTTACAACCCAGCACTTAATTGCGCTGACATAAAACCGCAAAAACAAACTTACGATGGCGACAACAATGTTGTAACCGAAGATTACATGAGGGAATTACTCAGTATGTATCCAGACGACGATGGGATATGCGATGATAAACCAGAAATTAATTGGGCCGATTATAGTTTACCGACAAATGTTAAACTAGGAAGCGTTTGTGGCGATAAATTAAAATCAAAACGACGAAAAGATATTTGTATACAAAATTGTGGCGAAATCATGGGCGGAGATGCAGAAAACAGTTGTGATTGTACAGGACAAAAATGTTTTGAAGGATGTTTAGGAAATCAACAAAATGATGTATGTGATTGTTTTGGAATGCCACCACAAGAACCACCACAAATGTATCAGGCACAAATGAATCAACCACAAATGAATCAAGGAGCACCACAAATGTATCAAGGAGGACCACAAATGAATCAAGGAGTACCACAAATGAATCAAGGAGTACCACAAATGTATCAAGGAGGACCACAAATGTATCAAGGAGGACCGCAAATGTATCAAGGAGGACCGCAAATGAACCAAGGAGTACCACAAATGTATCAAGGAGCTCAACAACCAAGTGATTTTGATGAAAATCCTTCACAAGATGGAACTGGTATGCTTCGATTAGAACTTAAATTTAGTGAATATACAGAAATTGTTAGTACACTTATGCCAGTTGAAGGTGGTGCTGAGGATCAAGCAACAGTATCACAATTTTCAACAATATCAGATGTAACAAAAACATTAAAAAGAATGGATCAAGAATTTGTGAATACAGAGTTGAAAAGTGGTGATGGATATGCTAAAGTAGGCACAGTAGGATCGGCGCCATTTAACGTACAAATGAATGGAAATTCTCAAGCTGTTTCTATGCCGCAAATATCAGATAGAAATTCGGATATTGTTAATGTAGTTAATTATGGTGGATTTGATTCAAAATCGAAACGTGAAGGTTCTGCAGGATTTTCAGGGGGCGGTTTAGGATCAAATTTACCGTTTGATGTGAATGGAAGAAAAGCGAAAAGTGCTTCGTTTACTTATAATGCCAAAAAAAGAATTGAAGCTGAAGTTACAATTACTGGGCAAATACCTTTACCGTTTGATGATCAAAATAATCAAATTAATCAAAATCAAAATAAAAATCAAGTTAATAATCAAAATAACAATCAAAATGGTTTCAATATGAAAGATAGAACTGGTGTCTGTACATGTTCGGGTCAAAAATGTATTGAAACATGTTTAGGAAAACAACAAGATGTATGTCTAGATACATGTAAAAGAAAAAAAAGTAATAAATTAAAAATAGAAGAATCAGATTCAAATTTAAATCGATTAGGAAGCCCAATATTAGCAGCGATAAAAACAGTACAAAAAGAAATGAAGCCGCTCCATGATACATTAAATGAATTAAAAATGAAAATACAAAGTATGGATATACCAGAATTAGATAATTGGAAAAAAGATGACCAAGAAAGTTGTTCATGCAAGAAAAATAATTCAAAATCGAAATCAAAAAAACGAAGAACTTGTACCGACACAGTTAATATACTTTTCCCCGAAGTTTTTGGACCATTTAATCAAAAGCAATATGTCAAAGATAAAAATAAGCTCAAAGAAAACGAATCTTATTCGTATAAATCAAACGAAAGTTTGATGAGTGAAACCCCAGAAAAAGATTCGAAAAATAACGCGAATTCATCTTATTGCGTTTGCTTAGAAAATGTTGAAGACGACGAGGAAAATAAATTCAAAAAAATCGTTGATGAAACAATGGGTTTCGAAAAAATGGTAATAAAAGATTTCGATTTTATGAAAACCAAAGATAAATCTTTAGACGATTGTATTGAAAAGGCAATGATGTTAGATCATGCATTATCGAAACATGTTGAGGTGAATAATTCACAAGATTCAAGTTTTAAATCGTCGTCGAGTCATAAATCATCAAATCGCCAAATTCAAAACGAAACAAAACCGATCAAATTAATAGAAAATAATACTAAAATGAACACCACGACGAATCAAATAAATCAAAATTTTTATAACTATAATATGTATGTTGAATGGTTTTATTCAAATTACTACAATCTTTATTCAAATTATTACACATATTATCCACAATATCCGGTAACACAATCACAATCAAATCATCAATCAAAAACTATAATTAAATCATCGAGAGATTTTAATGTAACTAAACAAAAAACGTTTAAAAGTTTTACGTCGATTGAAACTGTTTCGAAATCATCAAAAAGTGAATCTGAATCGTATCCGACCAGTAAATCGAGTGATTCAAGCGATTTTATGGATAGTTTGACTTATGATGATGAAGAAAGTAAAGACGAAAAAGTTATTGGAAGTAATGAAATTAATAAGATTGAAGATGTTGGTGTTGAAAATAAAAGCAATGATTTAAAATGTGTTAATGAAGACAGTAATGAAAAAAGTTCTTCGTTTTCGAGTAGTTTTTAAAATGATTAATTTATTTTTAAAAGGACTTAAAAAAGTTTGATGTTTTTTATTTGTGTATAAAAGGTTTATGTAATAAAATTAGAAAAACTAATTATTTTGTTACTAAAAAATAGGAGGGTAGAATGTTACTTATATCACCGATTTCGATTATACAGTCTTTAAACGTAACTAAAAAGAGCATTTATTTTTTTAAATACTTACTGTGTTAGTCACTCAATATGATAAATAAATTTTCTTGTCTTTGCCCAAATTTGCTATGAACACAACCTTAGCTTTTAAAGAGATAAACGTTGTTTGTCCCTTCCAAGACATCGCACGGTGGGGCAAGATACATAAAAATCTGGCGAAAAATAAAGAAATTAAATTTTTATTTTTGTATGTCAAATAAGTTAAATACGTATTTACAGATCCTAGTGGCCATACTTATGAATCCGTAGACCTATAAAACAATTGCAATTCCTGTCAATGTCAGTGCAAAGTTAACCTTGTTCTTTAAGTTAAACTTAAAGAACGAAAACTTGCTCTGAAAATGAACAGAAAGAGTTAAATTTAATTTTATCTCTTTTTATGTCGGAATATCGAAAAAGATTAAGGAAAAAAGACGTATTTTTAAAGAAATATCGTTCTTGGTTGGAGCAAACAGTGGACTTTCTAAATATATGCCTTTAAATTCAAAAGTACTGGACGACTCAAATTGGATTCGTCAAATTGAAACGTCAAAAAAACCAACACTTACGAGATAAATATTCAATGGATAAGTTGAGTTATGCTACTCAAATGAGTTTAAATAGTTGTGGGAAAATAGAATCTTCAAATGTGATAAAAGAAGTATAAAATAGCGTACAAAAATTTTAAACAACAAACGACTACAGAAACAACTGTCAGGGGAAGAGGCATCGGCCATGATAGTTGATGCAAAGTTAAGCAGACATCAGTACTGTATTATAAAGTCAAAGGATATTAACAAATTTCCATCATACAAAATTGTACAAGAAGCTAAGAAACTTTGCTACCCCGGCGAAGAAAACATTAAAGTCTCCGAGATATCCGTAGAAGTGGAGCTACAAGTCCTGTTGGATCATACCACGATCCGTCTTATAAACACTCAAAAAGAAGTATTGGATCAATAAAGTTCTAAAAACTTAACAGAAATGGTTTTATTATCTAAATGGGGTTTCAACGGTTCGGGCGGACAGAGCGAGTACAAACAAAAAACCAATAATAACGTTGTAAATAATGATTAAAGTATTTTCTTGGCGTCAATGGTGCCCATACAATTAAAAATTGGAAATCTTACAGAGAAAAATTCTGTAATTGTATGGCAAAATTTATTTCCATCCTCCATGGGATGATGTCGACCAATAAAATATATATTTAGTCCAGAAAATATCGATTTGGTAGTAACCGAAAAAAAATATTTTGACGAACAAATAAGGAATGTAAAACCAATGAAAATTGTAGTAGGAGATTTAGCAATTGAAGTTTATCACCACCTAATGTTTACAATGATCGATAGCAAGGTATGTAACTCTGTTACATATACCAAGTCGACTCAAAGGTGTTATTTATGTGGGTTAACATCCAAAGATATTAATGATCTGAACAAATCATTTGGTGCATTAACGAATAAAGAATACCGTGAGTTTAGAATCTTAGTGCTGCATAGCTGGATAAGATTATTCGAAACATTATTATATGTGGCATATAAGCTACCTGTTAAAAAGTGGCAAGCACGAACCGAAGAAACAAAAAAAATTGTAGATAGTAGAAAAAAATACATTCAACAAAAATTTAAAATGCAACTTGGTCTACTAGTGGATAAGCCAAAACAAGGGTTCGGCAGTACAAATTGATGTTGAGATTTTTTGCAAACGCTGAGATTTCAGCAGAAATAACTGGCATAAATTTAAACATAATAAAACGCTTTCATGTTATATTTTGCTAGTGGTTATGCTATTGACAAGAACAAATTTGCAATATATACGCGAAGGACTGCTAAAATAAGAGACCTATCTCAAAAATATTGTCGTACTGCTACAAATAGGGATATTCTTAATCATATGTTAACATCTTCCGACCCGTTCTTATCCACAATAAGAAAAATACTTTTCTAAAGATTAAAGAACTTTTCTAAAGAAGTGATAGAGATGTTTGAAGAGCCTCAGGTACACGAGGCTCACACACGAGAACACGATGAAGATAATGAAGAATATGGTGAGAATAATGAAGAATATGGTGAAGATAATGAAGAATGTGACGAGGATGATGATCATGAGAAGAAACAGCAAACGATAAATAAATACTAAACTGATTCTTAAAATAAACATTTTTCAAACAGAAAAGTACCTATACAAGATGATTCAAAAGTAGTAAAATCGAAAATATGCTTTTTAATATACAATAAAAAAACATCATTGTGGGTCGAATATTTTAAGTTATTTAAATATAACACAATGAAGCTTATTGAATCTAATTGCAAAATATATGGTTTTTGTTTAAAACAATTATTTTGTTCAATCCTACCTTCGAAACCGTCAGTTTCTAACTTGGATACGAGTGTTGAAAGTTGTTATTTGCATTCACTTTGCTGACTTTCATAGAAACGAGTGACTGAAAAAATTTTTCACTCACTCTAATTTATACTGATTTTAGTAGGGCTTTCGATGCTCTGCTTCTTTCAAAACTTCGTATGTTTGATATTAACGAACATTTGTGCACTCTTGATCTCATACTCGCACGACTTGTTACAGTAAATGATTTCCATAAGTCATTGACTCCCTTAATTCCCGAAGGTGTTGCTCATAGCACTATTGAATTTTCTTTTGAGCTTAAAGTACCCGGTAATGTTACTGAGCAAACTTTTCCTATTTTCAATTATAGTAAGGCTCCGTTTACGGATATTTCCGCCGAACTTAACTCCATATGTTGGGATGTTAACTTGAATTTTGCCAATGTAAATGTTGCTGTTGATTACTTTTACACTCAGCTTGGATCAATAATTTGCAAGTTTGTGCCGCAAAATTATCATAAAACAAATAAATATCCTACTTGGTTCTCTGCATCAACAATTGGTACTATACGAGAAAAGAACCGTATGCACAAGAAATGGAAGCGTTATGGAAATCGGTTGGATTACTTAACATTTTCTCTATTGCAAGGTCGTTCTAATTTTTTAATCGATATGGATTATAAGAACTACTTTGATCGCACACAGGCTTCTATTGTGTCGGATTCTAAATGGTTCTGGGCTTATGTTAGACGTCGCAAAGGGACGCCAGGTATTCCCGCCCGAGTGAATCATAATGACGATTCGGCTACTGACGGGGATAATATTTGCTCAATATTTGCAAATTATTTTGCGTCTGTTTTTACTCAACCCGCAGCCTATATCCCTGTCTCCGATGAGGAGATTGACTCTGCAGCTGACACTGTTGCCGTTGAAACTTTTAGTAGCGCTGATGTTGAACTTGCACTTAGTGAAGTGTCGCCCAACAAGGGTCCTGGTTCTGACGACATTCCATCAATTCTGATTATAAACTGTGCTGCTGCTCTTTCCATACCTCTTCAAATAATTTTTAATATGTCCATAAGGGCTGGAGTTTTTCCTGTGGCATGGAAGCGCGAAAACGTTGTTCCAGTTCACAAATCTGGTGATTATAGTTTGGCCGCTAATTACCGCTCAATTTCCATCTTGCAGTTGTTTGGTAAGGTATTCGAAAAGCTGATATACTCTAGAGTGTTTTTTCAGTTAAAAAATATTCTTCATGTAAACCAACATGGCATGGCTTCTTTCAGGGTCGGTCTGTGGAAACGAACATAATTGAGTATAGGGATCTCTTTTTGTCTTCCATGGATAATAATGTTCAGGTGGATGCAATATATACGGATTTTAGCAAGGCATTCGACAGGGTTGATCATAATTTGTTACGTGACAAATTAATGCGTATTGGTGTTGCGGACTCTCTGTTAGATTGGTTTGCTTGCTATGTCTCGGGACGAACTTTCGTTGTTCGAATTGGCGGGTTCTTTTCACGGTCATTTTCAATTACATGTGGTGTACCTCAGGGCAATCACCTTGATCCTCTTTTATTCCTTATTTATATTAACGATATTTTTGCCTCTTTTTCCCATTGTCGCTGTCTCATGTACGCCGATGATCTTAAAATATTCATGCCTATAAGTTGTCTAAACGACTGTGCCAAACTGCAGAGCGACCTTGATGATTTGTACAGGTATTGCTTTGATAACTACCTTACACTTAACGTCTCTAAATGCGCAATAATAACTTTTACAAAGAAACAGAATTACATTATACATAACTATTTGCTCGGTAATGATGTCCTACATCGATCCTCGTCCGTTCGGGACCTTGGTATCACACTTGATCAGAAGTTGACTTTTAATTTGCATATTGACGGAGTGGTGAATAGAGCGTACAGAATGTTAGGATTTGTAATGCGATGTTGTGTCGATTTTACGGATCCTCTTGTGATCATTAACATTTACAATGCTTTTATTAATAGCTTGCTGAACTTTGGCAGCAGTATTTGGAATCCCATATACTCTTCATATACTGAGAAACTAGAGAAAAATCAGAAGAAATTTTTGAAATTTCTCCTATATAAATCCTCTCAAATTTACGTTAATTACAATTCCGCGTGGAGACTGTGTGGCTTGCTTACCCTCGGTCAGCGAAGATTGCTTACGATTCTCCTTATCTATTGTCACGTGTCGACCTTCATGTCCCTCTTCGCCAGCTGAGGTATGATTTTCTTTTTTATGCTTCTACGCCGCGCACAGTCGCATACAGAAACTGTCCAATTATTAGAATGGAGAGAATGGTGGACCGCCTCGGATAGATTTATTTGGGTATAGTAGACTGAGGTATAGATCTTTGGCCCGTAACGTTATTGTGACGTCTAACAATTTGATGATTAATTGATAATTAATTTGATAAACTATGATGCTTATTCTAAGTTCCTTTTAGTTTCTGAATTCATTTAGTTGTGTGTCCCGTGTTTGCTCCCTTCTTGTACATGTACTTGTACGAAATAAAAAAAAAAATTGCGGTTTGAACTTTTACCACTGTATGATGTTGTTCAGTATTAATTGTATTGTTCAAATAGTGGTCAATATTACTTTTACTGATAATTGTACTTTCATCTCGAGCCGCATTACTAGGATGAATTGTGTGATAAATATTGTAATGGTTGATGTTTGTATACGATTCTCGTGTAAAGTGGGTTTCGGAGATAAGACATGTATCAATATTGTTTTCTTTAAGTATTATTGGTAGTGTATTTTGATGCTGTCGAAGACCATTGGAATTCCAGCATTATATTTAGTTGTTGCTTTTTAGACATTTTGAATCGTTTGGTTTAAGTTGATTCTTGTTGAAGTATTTTTTCTAGTATTAGATCTAATTTACGATTAGCCTTTCTATCGACTAATGTACTTACAGTTTTCTATGCAGCTTCACCACTCGCTTTTTGGGCATACAAGACGCCTGGCTTTCTTTTATTTGAATTTACTGTTTTCTTATTTTTGATGACTTGTGCGTAGTTCCTTAATCACAATGCATCCTCGGTAGTTTGCTGGATAATTTACTCCATACTCGAGTTAAACAAAAACCGCCAAACATTAGTCGGTTTTTGTGGCAGTAAGCTTTGGTGTGGCTTTTGCACTGGGGCATTTGTTTTGGCTTTCTGTACTTTTCGATTTTGACACGCATTCCTAATACACTGTTGGAAACAAGTCACGAGCACACTCTATATAATCTGAACGCGTGAAGATAAATCCATAATATTTGCGGAGCACAAAGGTTTACTGTAGACGAGTTTATTCAGGGAGTTCCAAGTGGAACATTCCGTCGCTATGGAGACCGAAGTGGATGGAAAATACCGGTCGTTTTTAGTGTGGTGTGAGGGACCACATTGTTATCGTACTCTGTGTGCAATCGATGGGCGATCGCGTTACTTAAGCGAGTTTGAGCGAGGAATATTTGTGGGTATGCACATTGTGGGTGTATCGTTCCGTGAAATTGCGCGTCGTCTCGAGCGGTCGTTATCGGCTGTGCAACGGGCATGGCGAGAATGGTCTGAGGTTGGACATAGGTACCTTCAGCCCCAGCACACGAGGATCGCGCTCTTGTGCTCAACGCTTTAGCGTCGTGTGTGTCCTTCTCAAGGCAACTTGGAGCTGTTTGGCCACTGGCAGGGGAAGGCGCACTCACTACGCGAACTGTACGGCGGCGTTTGGTAGATAGTGGACAGGCGCGCGCGTCGTGCAATACAGCAGATTCCAGTAAAACCCGAGCACCGCAGCATACGTCACGAGTGGGTCGACGCTAGGCATTGGTAGGTTGCCGAGTAGAGGGATATTTTGTTTTCCGACGAATCAAGATTCGAATTGAGCACCGGTGATGCGCGAATTTTAGTTCGTCGGAGCCGTAATGATCGTCTACTCGAGCAGTGTGTGCAAGAACGCCCTATCCACCGACAACTGAGCATTATGGTATGGGGTGCGATTACATATGGCGGACGTACACGTCTGCTGCGTGTATAGCAGACCATGACGGGTCAACGATACGTAGATGAGGTGCTACGGTCTGTTGTATACGAATGCTTCCATGGCTAGCTCGGTTTCCGCATCTGAATCCGATCGAACATGTTTGGGACATGACTGGTTGGAGACTTCTACATTATCCGGCTTCCTCGGCTAACGTTGAGGAGCTATGGAGGCGAGTTGAGGTGGCATGGCTGGCCATCCCTCTCGCTACAATATAGCGACTTATAGACTCCATGCCACGTCGTGTAGCGATGGTACGCGAAGCTCATTTCGGATACTCTCGCTATTGATGTTTCTCCTCCCAGCAGAGTTGTGTCGTTCTCCATGTGAGAGTAAGTTACACTACTTTAGTACTACTTCCATACCAAATTTTATTGCGCTAGACACACGCGTTCAGATTATACAGGGTGTGCCCGTGAATTATTTCCAACAGTGTATGTTTGTTATTTCACGGATTCTTTTTACATCTTCTGACGGCGCAAAATCCAAGAGAGAGGTTCTTTTGTTTTGTGTATTTTAACATTTGGGTTACTTTACAAATGTTACAATTGCGCTCCAATAGTTCATCTTTGATATCATTAACATCACAGCTTTTATGCATCTGGTCTCAAGTGGACCATAAGTGGAGTAGGACTTAAATCTGAACTAAAATGTTTACATACTACAAGAAGTCATAAAGTAATAATCTAATATTTATGAATTTAATATGTATGTAATAATAACAATTTAATAATACAACATTTTTAATGGGATCTTGCAATATCTGAAAAAAAATTTAAAATATCATCTATAGTGAACTCCAAGCTAATCATTGATCCAGGATAACATTGTTGGATAAGATCCTCCAGCATTTTATGTTGTTGAATAAATTCTTCTTGCATCGCCCGCCATACCACGGGTAAAAGATTACTTTCTTCTGATAAATGTTTTTCGACTTTTTTATATAAAGCTTCCAACCCCCTTTTCACCGTCAACCCCGGGTATTGACTAATTACTTTTCGGAGTTCCTGTTTACTAAAAGCTAATTGATAACTTACTTCCGACATTTTAACACCGCTTTGAACTCTAGCTTGAACACCATCAAAGAATGTCTAAAAAAATATATTTTTAAATTAAATTAAATATTTATTATTTACCGCACATTTAATTTCTCTAAAGGCTTTCCAAAATACAATGTAACATAACCTGTCAAAGAATCATTATATTTTTGTTTAGCCTCTTTCCTTTGGACATCCAAAACGGAAATTTTCATTTGAGATAACATCGAATATAAATGATGGTAATTTTCTAAAAAAAATACATAAAATTATCCTAAATTGAAGATATTTTTTTTAGTTTACCCATTTTGATAACTTGAGGTGGGCCTTTCGAATTTTCAACGGAATGTAATGAAATGCACTCAATGATTGTATCGATCAATCGCGTGTACCATTTCTCCAAATCAGCTCTGCGATCGCTTTTTAATAAAACCTCAGCGTTTCGCGAAAACTCCTCCAAATTCAAAACGTAGGGTAAAATCCCACTTTTTGCTTTTCGCGGAATTTTGCACTCTTTAATCGACTCGATTTGTAATTGCATAAATTTATCCAAAGATCTTTTAACTTGGATCAAAACGGAAGCGAAAGTGTTACTTAAATAAGTACTTTTTGCAGACATTACATGTTGATTTAAACAAACCAAAACGTACATTGAATAACTTAAATTAAAAACGTTAAAATAATAAATTTGATTTTCTTAAATATCTTACAAGCTATCTTGTTTTTCAATACAACTAACAAAGTTAACCAATTCTTCTTCTAAACATGAAAATAAACTCGTCATAACTTTTCGTAAATCTTCTTCAATTTTTTTATCCACCTTTTTATCCATTAATGTTTGTTCCATTTCTCTACCATCGAGAGTTGTTTGGGTATTTTTTGAACTTGGGCTTAAAATGTCTAACTATGTAAATATAAGGAAAAATTAAATTAATTAATACAGTCAAACTTCTATACAGGGAATTTCACTTAAGAATTAAGATGCAATATACAAAAATATATTTTCATTGAAAGCAGGGTGTATAGTCTTCCACACGGCGATCGACTTTTATGACTCTGTCACTTTCCTACTGTAGTTATAAAACGAACAAAGACGGTGTTGCAACAGGTAGTTTCCCATTGTAGAATGCTGGGATTCCTCCCTTAAGGCCGCATTAAGGAACACACTTTACTTGCAAATTGTAGAAAAATAATAGGATGATATACGGGGTGTTTCAAGTTTTTGTAGCAGGACTTTAACAGTCGATAGATCTTTTAAAATTAACACAAAAATTTCATATAAACATAGGTCGACAAACGCTTTGTTTTGGAGATACAGGTGTTCAAATTAAATTTTTAAATTGATTTTTATTTAATATTACACGTGTATTTAAACCGATTCTTTTCAAATTTGGTATATGGAGGTTTTTTGGCTTGATAAAAACGATTATGGACTCCGTTTTACTATAGCCGGAATTCAACAGGATTTGTGGCTTAAGCAGGACGGTGTCACTGCTCAGACAAGCATGAGATCTCTTCAAGAACTGAGACAGCTGTTTCCAAAATGCTTGATGTCTTTGCGCGAACATCCACTAGCCAGTACGATCTCCAGACCTTATTCCCTGTGATTTTTTTTGTGTGGGGGTTTCTTAAGACTGAAGTTTACAAACATCATCTGAGGACTCTGCCAGCCCTACGACAAACGATTCAAGAAGACATTGCTCGTATTCCTCAAGAAATGTTGATTAGAGTAATGGCGAACTTCCAAACTCGCATTTGGCAATGCATTGATAACGAAGGAAAACACTTGAGCGATATACTGTTCAAAAAGAGGAACTTATAAAACATAATAACGTAACTTCCCTTAACATGAATGGAATTCTGCAGATTCCATTCATGTTAGTACAGTTTCGTTAATTTGTACCATCTGTTTTTTATTCAACTTTCAAATTAGGGAAGGAGTTTTGCTGCACCCTGTACCTATCTTTAAAAATTCTCAAAAAAATTGGTCTATATCGAATAATAAAAAGCGGATTATCTTGAAAACGATTAACTTTAGCGCATTTTGATAAGAGTACGGGTACTTAAAAAAGTACAGAGAATAAGAATTTTTATTCAAAAAGCCAAAAAGTATATTGTCAAAAAAGTTATTGTTATTTTAATTCGTGTGATTCGTAAAGAATACGTTACAGTTCGCCCTCTACCGGCTATAGTAAAAGTGACTCCATAAACGTCTTTCTCATGCCAGAAAACCTCCGTATACCAAATTTGAAAAGAATCGGTTGAAATACACGTGTAATATTAAATAAAAATCAATTTAGAAATTTAATTTAAACAGCCTGTATCTCCAAAACAAAGCGTTTGTCGGCCGATGTTTATATGAAGTTTTTGTGTTCATTTTAAAAGATCTATCGATTGTTAAAGTCCTGCTACAAAAACCTGAAACGTCCTGTACAAATACTCATTCTCTTATTTGTTGTGTTTCTAATAATAAGTACATATTTTTTTTAAGAAATGTTTTGAGAAGGCGTGCATTGTCTAATTAAAAAAAAAGGGCGGAGGATAATTACATTCTTTAAATTAAACTAAAATTAGAACTAAAACTAGAACTAACACTAGAAACTTTCGGGTTTTGCCGTGCGTCTTTTAATAAAAGGTTTGACGTTTCTTATGCCATGTTGCAACCTTCTGCAGAAACTGGTTCGAAGTTAGCAATACTCCACCAGATCTGGCACGTATTCTGGTAAATCCTCCGGAATGAGTTTTCGGCGAAGACCCTCTACAGCATCTTTAACTGGTACCCTAGTAAAAAGGGATTCCACATCGAAACTTACCAACATATCCCCAGCATCCAGCTTTACACCTTTTACCGATTCCACAAAATGTGTAGAATCCCTGACATACGATTCCGTGTTACCTGTAAAGGGAGACAGAATCTTTGCAAGATGTTTGGCTAGTTGGTATGTTGGGGAGTTGATGGCGCTGACGATAGGGCGGAGGGGGACGTCTGGTTTGTGAATCCTCGGTAGTCCGTAGATTCTTGGTGGTACCGGCGCCTGCACAAACAAACCTTTCTGCTGTTCTGCTGGAATTCCTGTGGATTTTATCAGTTCGTATAGGTTCATCATTTTGTCGTCGTATTCTTTCCTGTCCATAACAACGGTGGCAGTCCCCTTGTCTGCTGGTAACACGACGATTTCTGACTTTTCTTTTATAGATCGGAGTGCCTTCTTTTCACCAACTGTCAAGTTGGATTTTGGTGGTTTTGCTGACTTCAGTACTCTCGCAACTTCTTGTCGGATCTCTTCGGCTTTCAATGCAGGCATCCCTCGGACAGCTGCTTCCACTTCGCAGATGATTTCCTCCTTTGGGACCTTCTTCGGGGCGATTGCGTAGTTCAATCCTTTGGCGAGCACAAAGGTTTCGTCTTTCGTTAGTGGGACATTCGATCTGTTAATGACGATTGTTTCTACTGGTAAACTATTACTTTTCTTCTTTTGTGACCGGCGTTCCAGAGATTCAAACTTCTTGATGTGCGTGTCACGGGTCTTCTGAAATTCGCGATCAGCCTTCTCCATTGTTAGTCTGTCCACTTTGTCCCAGTCTTCTCCGGATATACAATTGGAAAGTGAGAGGTGGAGTCGTAGTAACTTCTCACTTATTTATGTTTGTGCAGGCGCCGGTACCACCAAGAATCTACGGACTACCGAAGATTCACAAACCAGACGTCCCCCTCCGCCCTATCGTCAGCGCCATCAACTCCCCAACATACCAGCTGGCCAAACATCTTGCAAAGATTCTGTCTCCCTTTACAGGTAACACGGAATCGTATGTCAGGGATTCTACACATTTTGTGGAATCGGTAAAAGGTGTAAAGCTGGATGCTGGGGATATGTTGGTAAGTTTCGATGTGGAATCCCTTTTTACTAGGGTACCAGTTAAGGATGCTGTAGAGGGTCTTCGCCGAAAACTCATTCCGGAGGGTTTACCAGAATACGTGCCAGATCTGGTGGAGTATTGCTACAGTTCGAACCAGTTTCTGAAGAAGGTTGCAACATGGCATCCGAAACGTCAAACCTTTTATTAAAAGACGCACGGCAAAACCCGAAAGTTTCTAGTGTTAGTTCTAGTTTTAGTTCTAATTTTAGTTTAATTCACACCGGCCGTGAAAGCCTTTGTACTTATATAGATTCTTTAAAATTTTATTATTCTATTATTTAGACATTCCTAAAAGTAATATTTTTTTCTAAGACTTTTATACTAGTTTTTATAATTAAATTTTAGTTGTTATGACTAAACTTTGGTTTCTTATTAAATTTTAGTTTAAAAAAATTTAAGTTCGACCCTGTCTTTGTCTGACTGTCATAAATCTTTTCAGGTACTCGAGCGGGCAAAAATCACCCGGTTTTTATTTACGACTGTCATAAAAACCGATCTGGATGTAGAAGAGTATACCTACTTACTTTGTCCCACATACAATGCAACATGTCAATATAATTATAGTATATATAGGATATTATAGTAAAACCTCGATATAACGAATCAATACGGGGAACGCAGTGTGTTATAGTATAGCTCAATAAAAATATACAATAATCTACTATCCGTGCAAAAAGTCAAGGCCCCTCAATTTAGAGATCGATATCTTCGTAACCGCTCGATGAAAAAAATTGCGGTAAAGTTTATTGAAATCAGTGAACATTTCTACGTACCATATATTCATTAGATATAATATTTCGGATTCACGGTTTTCTTTTTATCGCGAGTTAAATGAAAAAATTACCCAATTTTTGAGAGTGCCAGCAACTTTGTTTACTTTGCGATTTTTTTTCTCCAAAACTGTTTGACGAAAAAATTTCAAATTTGAACTGGTGGTAAACCGATGTGTTCTTAAAGTGGGGCATATTTTATTTTTTCGATATTCCATATGGTTTCGCGGAAAATCGCGGTTTACTAGGATGCGGTTATTTCAAAAACGACCTGACGGATTTCAACGCGATTTTTACCAAAATATGTCAAATAATGTTGGTTGTCGGATTCCGTTATCAGTTTTTCAAAATTAGGGCTCCCTAATTTTTTAAGAGCGATTTAATGGAATTAAAAATTAAAGAGAAACAGAAATAAGCTCTGCGAGTAGAGGAGGGTTCCGTCCAATCGGAACAGATGGTGTGTCCCAGACACTATGTCGCGCTTTTATGTTACCTACATAAAGAAATAAGGCGCGACGTCCTGTCTGGAACGCACTATCTGTTCCGATTGGACAGAACCCCTGTCACTCCGCAGAGCTTATTTCTGTTTCTCTTTAATTTGCAATTCCATTAAATCCCTCTTACAAAATTAGGGAGCTCTAATTTTGAAAAACTGGTAACGGAATCCGACAATCGACATTATTTGACATATTTTGGTCAAATCCGCGAGGAAATTCACCTACCCGTTTTCGACATAACGGCGTCTTACTAAAGCGCGATTTTCCGCGAAACTGTATGGAATATCGAAAAAATAAAATATGCCACTCATTAAGAACACACCAGGCTACCACCTGTTCAAAATTCAATTTTTTCGCACGATAGTTTTCGAGAAAAAAATCGCAAAGTTGACAAAGTTGCCGGTACCGTAAAAAATCGGGTACTTCGTTATGCATTGTCTGAACATTGTACGTATATTAGATTATATAGTATAACTAGAATCATTTGGGAGTAGCCGTCTTAAGAGACGTACGGCTAAACCCAAATGTTTCTAGTTCTAGGTCTAATGTTAGTGACAGTGCTAGTGTAAAACTAGAACTAGCACTATACCTAGAACTAGAATCAGGTTCTAGATGTAATGTTAGTTCTAGTGACAGTGCAAGTGTAAAACTAGAACTAACACTATATCTAGAACTAGAATCATTCATGTTAGTCAGCGCTAGATTGTTGTATATTTCCATTGAAGTAGTTGAAAGGTTAAATATACGTATTAGAAAAGTACGCATATTAGATTATACAGGATGATTTTTTGATAACGATCCGCCTGAGATATTTCGGAAACCAAAAGAAAATTGAAAATTTCTGAAAACAGGTCCATTTATATTTCAAGGGCGAAACGGTTTCACCTATTCTCGGTCTAGTGTTAGCTCTAGTTTTGCACTAGCACTATCACTAGAACTAACACAAGAACTAGAATTATTCGGGTTTAGCCGTATTGAGAGACGTGCGGCTAAACCCGAATGTTTCTAGTTCTATCTCTAGTGTTAGTTCTAGTTTTAATTATTATTCAGCGTTAGATTGTGGCATTTTTTATTGAACGAAAAGTAGAACTAACACTAGACCTAAAATCAGAAATATTCGGGTTTAGCCGTATTGAGAGACGTGCGGCTAAACCCGAATGTTTCTAGTTCTATCTCTAGTGTTAGTTCTAGTTTTAATTATTATTCAGCGTTAGATTGTGGCATTTTTTATTGAACGAAAAGTAGAACTAACACTAGACCTAAAATCAGAAATATTCGGGTTTAGCTATGCGTCTCTTCAAGACGGCCAAAAACTCGGAGTTATCATAAGGACGTCACCTTTTTTAAAGCAAAACTTTTTCTTTTGTAATACTACCCAATGCCTGTACTATTAACCTACGTTGCATTTTATGTGGGACAGTGCAAGTTGATTCGTTTGCAAAGTAGTTTCGTAACTATGGTTACTGTATTCATATATTGCAAGTTATATGAAATAGACTGCCTAAGTCTGACGTCACAGAGGTGGGCGGAGCTTATACTGACTCCAAACAATTTCGTTGCTAACCACAGTTGCTAAGATAAACCGCCAAAAAATGTCATTTAAAATGTCATCAGTTAGTTTATTTTATTTTAACACTAATGGAAAGTTGCATATGGTGATTTACCGTTAGCAACGAGAATGTTTGGAGTCAGTATAAGCCATAGAAAATAGCTCCGTAGAAATGCAACTCTCTAAACAAAAACTTCGTACTAAAAATTGAACGCATGTGGCGCCATCTGTTGTGGATATTTTGGAATTATTCAGCTACGAACCTAACCACTATAATACAGGTTGGATTGGGTTTATATATAAAAGCTCCAACCACAGAATAACTGTTTGGAACCACTAATGGTGGTTCTAATTAACGTTCCGACTGGTTGGAAATTCCTCAGATCCAATTACTTATGGCAATTACACCTCTCAAATAATGCCGCCACATTTCAATATCACTGCATCATATGACATGTGAGATTGCATCTGACGAGCTTCTAACCAGTTATAACGTTAGTTGTAACAAAGCAATAATGTCAATTATAATCTAATTATTTAATCATATCATTATTACTTTATTATACTCTTACCGAAAAATCACTTTATATGACGTTTTTATGTGTCATTCTGTACAAACTTCAAGTTAGTGGCAAATTTAAAAATATAACACGAATTGGAATCTATACTTTTTAAATTAAAAGAATGATACTGGTAATAATTGTTATTGCTGTCTCTCATCATTCCCACTATTAATAATAAAATTGGTGTAATTATTATTTGTTTCCATCATTCGTATTAAAATAAAATAAAGAGTTGCACTTTTTTTAATGGATAATTGTTATATTTATGTTCTACCGGTTTCTAACGAATCTAACGATTCATAACGATTCGTCGCATCCGCCCATAATTACACATTTATTTAATTTTTAATTTTCTTAAGTTTTTAATCACGAACAAATGTTTAATACTGATACCAGGCCTTTTTTCAAATAGGGCCGTTAACTATTTTTTTTTTATTGGCTCATACGAAAGTTTTTTAAAATTGATTGACCCCATATTTTTTAATTTTTGATTCTGAGGCTTAGTTTTTTCAAAAAAAAAATAATAAAGTTAGAAATTACAGGCCGCGAATTCAGTAGCGCGTCACTCAGATTTGAGCGTACGATTGGAGCGTATAAAAATCAATAAAATTCCTGGAGAGAGACAATGCTACGAATCTTATGCGCTAGAAGAAAACAGAAGAAAACGGGAGAGAAATCACGTCTGTGATTTCTTTCTTCTTACTTAAAACGTCACAATGAATCAGGGGTGGGGAATTTTAAAGTTTTACATTAATTATTGCAAAAATTAAACAATTTTCGAACGTGAAAACGTTACTAATCCGTCTAATTTAATTTACATTATCGATTTTTTGAAAGACGGTCTTTATAATCGATTGACGTTAACGGCCCTATTATGACGCGTTCCTGAAGATGACTCTATGTTGAGTCGAAACCGGTAGAACATAAATATAACAATTATCCATTAAAAAAAGTGCAACTCTTTATTTTATTTTAATAATAAAATTGTTAGTTAAATTCAATTATTTCAGTATAGATGCTAATGCCATCTTACGGTAGGATTTCGACATACAATCAGACCCAAGTTCTCCTATCAAAGATCCCTGGGGCTGGTATAAGCTCCGCCCATCTCTGTGACGTCAAGGCTTAGGTTGTCTATTCCCGGTATAACGAACCTCGTTAGAACGGACAAAATATTTTTAAATAATACTATTAATATTGTCTATTTATTAATATTTAAATATCCGTTATATCGAGGTTTTATTATATTAATAAATTCTTTTTAATTACTTGAAAGAAATTAACGCAAAATAACTGTTCTTGCAAACAAACAGGTTCTAATTGCGTTAAAACTTTATCCAAAACAACTTTGAAATTCGCTCGATCTTTCGTAGAAGCCTCCAATGTCCAATCAATATCAGAACCAAGTAAAGCAACATTCTTAACCGGTAAAGTTAAGTTATTAACAACCCCAATGCTTTCTCGCGCGATTTCAAATAATCTCCTTAAATCCTTTTCGTACAATTTCCCAAAAGATTCCGTATAAGATTTTCTCAAATAATCATAAGCTTTTCTATCCATAACCTTAAAATTAAAAATTTATATTAATCGAAATCATTTATATTAATAATTACTTTTGTCCAATGCATTAAATCAGTGTAAAGTTGTAATTCTTTATGAATAGCGCCATGTTGGGGTAAAGAAAAATTATCCCCCGTTCTTATAGTTTCTCCTTTTCCATGATTTCCATAATGTATAAACAAATTATTTAATTGGCGTGTTAAACTGACTGAAAATTGATCTTTTAGTTTTAAAAATTTCTTTTTTTGTTCTTGAACCGCCGCCATATCCAATAAAGCGGGCTCAATGTCGGCGTTTAAAGCATTTTTTAATGCATTACTTGCACTTATAGCCGCTTTTATCCCTTCGGGGGTTGTAAAATCGGCGTTTTCTAATATTTTTTGATGATGTGATGATAAATCAAGTTGACCCTAAAGAATACATAAATAAAATTATATTTAGTGTTTGTAAGTATAAATTTGATTAAACTTACAACAATTTTTTCCAATTCATTGAATAATAAAATATTATTACGACTTGCAATGGCAATTTTACTATTTTTTTTCTCCATTTCTTCCATTGTGTTTTTAACATGGCACAAAATTTCATCATAACCATCTAACCTCTGCTCAATTTTCTCAGCCTCCTCAATAGCTACATCTAATTGTTCCATTATTGTTTCAACTTCACTTGCTAATAATCTCTGAACATTTTCGCTCTCCAACAATGATAAATCCCGTGCTAAATACTCAGTAAATGCTTCTGCATTACTTATTGCGTATTCACAATCAGACATTAATTTTGTTAAATCTTCCTGTTCTTTCTCTGTAATTGGTTGGATGTCTTGTAAGTCCATATCAGGATCAAGACAAAGAGGAGATGAAACAAAGTTACTTTCCGGTGTTAAAATATCCTCCATCAGCCAAGTTTTCGGGACGTTTCTAAATTTAGGCTTGTCTTTTAAAACATATTTATTGGCTTGCCTCCATATCGTTACAATAAACGCTTGCCTTTCTTGCCAATTCAATGCAACCCACCTATACATTTTATCTAATTGCAAATCAAATTCCAAAAAGCGTTGATCCTCATTTTTACCATCAACCGATTTTAAATCAACCAACGACCAAGTTCGTTTCTTTTTAAACGTTTTATCCGTTTGTTTCACTTGAACTATCGAAATATTCGCCGGTGGATTTATCGTCGTCGTTACGCATAGTATTGAAGATTTTTTCTTTTTTAATAATTTCCCAACGTGACATAATGCTAAAACACGTTCTTCACTTGATTCAAACACCTCTTTATTTAAGATATTTCTTATAGACATTTTTACTAATCAATATAAAATAGGTTATGTTTTTTGTTTTGACATTGACATTTAGTTTTGACATAAATAAGTTTTAAGATTATAACAATTTATTTAGATTTATTAATTAATAAGAACTTCGTTTCATATTCAATTCACTTAAATCATTTTAGAAACAATTTTTAATTAATTAATTTTGATCCTTTTAAAATTATTCTTATACTTTATTTTATGATTTATTTGGAATTTATGGTTGACATCTATTGGTTGCGGTTTGAACTTTATTGTTATAAAAGATCATTATATTAATTATTTCGTGTTTATTAACTTAATTTTCAACTTCGTATGTAATTAAATTCACTTAAAAACATTTATTATATTGAAAATAATTTAATTTTTTAATTAATTAATTTTTTGTGTTGAATTCTTGTGGCGACATCTACTGGCTATATATTTAAGTTTATTCCTATAATAAAAAAGTTAAATTTTGAAGTTATTTAAAAGTTGATTTTTATGTATTTTTATTTAAATATGTGTTAAATTTTGATTTATAAGTAGATTCGAATTGATTTATAAAATTTAATAAAGAAGTCTCATAATTGAAAGGTTTCTACGCAGTGACATCTCTAGCATAGTGCTAAAACACGTCCTTCACTTGATTTAAACACCTCTTTTTATATTTTTTGTTTTGACATTGACATTTAATTTTGACATAAATAAGTTTTAAGATTATAACATTTTATTTAGATTTATTAATTAATAACAACTTCGTTTCATATTCAATACACCTAAATCATTTTAGAACCAATTTTTAATTAATTAATTTTGGACCTTTTAAAATTGTATTAAATTTTTACACCGACATCTACTGGTTATAAATTTAAGTTTATTCTTATACTTTTTTTTGCGATTTATTCGAATTTTTTTGGTATTATTTCGTCTTTATTAACTTAATTTTCAACTTCGTATGTAATTAAATTCACTTAAAAAGATTTATTACTTAGAAAATAATTTAATTCGTTAATTAATTAATTTTTCGTATTGAATGTTTGCAGCGACATCTGTTGGTTATAAATTTAAGTTTATTCCTATAATAAAAAAGTTCATTTTTATGTATTTTAATTTAAATATGTATTAAATTTTGATATATAAGTAGATTCGAATTAATTTATAATAATTAATAAAGAAATCTCATAATTAAATGGTTTCTACACAGCGCCATCTCTGAGCCAAATAGATATATAATTTAAATTTTGAATTTAAACCTATTCTTTTTTGAATCGTTTTATCTTTACTTTATTCTTAATAAATTAACTTTAAAGTGGTGTTATTTTATTAATTGATGTATTAAAATAAATAATTTTCACTTTTGTGCCTAAGTTCAACTTTTTTGCCAATTTTGTTTCGAAAAACAAACTGCTTGAAAACGGTGTCAACGATCTTCTCTGTTATGAAAAAACTCTGTAGACCAAGTCGGATCTATATAAATCGTTCTGAAAGAGAAGAAATACGTAAGCAGGAAAAGTATGAATAAAGGATAGACGCCGACGACGTCGACGTCGTTTGTATATATGGTTGAAGTGTTACGTGGAGGGGGCGAAAGTCCATCGCCGTTGAGACGACGACGCGACGTCCTCCGCTTTTCCGACAACACACATTACAGTCGACGTCGGGCGTCGCGACGCCGAACATCACACGAAAATCCGGAAATTCCGTGGACGTTTTCAGACTACGAGAATAAGCTTTGTTGTTGTGTAGTGGTTGAACTCGGTCTTTGTTGCGGATTCTTTCAAAGTTTAACATTTAGACAAAAAATTGTTGAGAAGTGAGAATAAGAATTCTGTTGTTGGTGTTGAATTTAATTTTTTTTTTGTAAATCTTATTGAGTTGAGGTGGAATAATGAAGGAGAAAAAAACGAAAAAGAAACTTCATTAAGTTGTGTTTAAAACAGGGAAAGAAAAACTTAAAAGATTTTCATTAAAAAATTAATGGAGGTGTGTTGTAACGAAATGTGATGAATGAATAAAGTGAATGAAGATTTTTTGTGTGGATTAGGACAACATTGAAGTTTTGAAAAAATAAAAGGTTCGTTGGTAATTTAGTTTCTTTTCAAGATGGAAGAAAAAATTTCTTTTTCACGTGTATAGAAATCGATTAGTTGTTTCTTTGTATTTATCAGCGGTTTCCAGGTTTCCGGGAATTTAAATTATATAGTAGGTTCAAAAAAGTTGTTTTTACTGTTATAGTTCAATTTCAAACATAAATAGTTATTCAACTCATTGGGATTGTTATTTTATATAGAAATATTTAACATATCCCAGCAATTTTAAATCGATTATTTTAATTTTCCACTTTATTATGAATTTTCCACAAATTGTTTTTCAAGAGGTTGCTATTGACGCAATTAAGCTATGATGGTCTAAATATTAACATTACCAAGTTATATTAGCTTTATGCACACAATTCATACCAAATTTGCTGAATCGAGACTGATTACTTCCCAGAATGTTAGAAACTTGCCTTAATTATGCTGTTACCTAAAATATTGGAGTATCCTGATTGTGTTTCCATGAATGTACTCCAAGTTCTTGTCAAGGTGATGAGAAAATGTTATTACAAGCATCTTTAAACTCAATCCCTTAAATCATATACCATCAATTTGCTTTAAACCTTAGCAATCCACAATCCATCAAGTCCCCTGTATCATTAGCGACGCTATTAACCTCCTAAATTCCAATTTCTGAACCTGGTTGCACACAAACTCGAAAAAGCTTCGACCCAAAGTGTCGAAGGACTAATAGTTACGCATCGCACCTAATTAAACTCATCCACATCTATCCAACATGCAGAAATAGCCAAATTTAACTCTCTCTAAATCGGTAAGCTTTAATGTATCTTTAATTTTCACCCTCTAACTTTCGAGATACCGAATTAATTATAATTTTGAGTAGGTTTTTGAATCTCCCCAAGTATTTTGAGTTAATAATTACTCTTTGTTAATAATTCTAACACCAACCATTCTGAAGATGTGAGGGATTTTTTGTTAAAAATGCAACATTGAAGTTATCGTAGTTCTGCTCCCTGAAACATCTATCACAGTGATCAAGTTATAATTTTGAGTACATATTTGAATTTTTTAAAGTATTTTAAACAAATAAGGTACTCATTGTTAAAAGTTGTACCACCAACCGTTTTTGAGATAAAAAAGATTTTGTGTTAACAAACACTAAGAACCCCAAAAATTTAATATATCTTTAATTTGCGCCCTCTAACTTTCAAGATACTGAATAAATTATAATTTTGAGTACATTTTTGAATTCCTTCAAGTATTTTAATCTAAAAAGTAGTCTTTATTAAAACTTCTAACCCCAACCGCTCCAAAGATGGGGGGGATTTTTTGTTAAAAATGCAACATTGAAGATAACGTAGTTCTGCATTCTGTAACATCTACCACAGTGACCAAACTATAATTTTGAGTACATGTTTGACTTCTTTGAAGTATTTTAAACAAAAAAGGTACTCATTGTTAAAAGTTGTATCATCAACCATTCTTGAGGTAAAAACGATTTTGTGTTAACAAACATTAAGAACCGCATAATTTTAATGTATTTTTAATTTTCACCCTCTAACTTTCAAGATACCGAATAAATTATAATTTTGATTACGTTTTTGAATTTCCCCTAAGTATTTTAAGCTAAAAAGTACTCTTTATTAAAACTTCTAACCCCAACCGCTCCAAAGATGTGGGGGATTTTTTGTTAAAAATGCAACATTGAAGATATCGTAGTTCTGCTCCCTGTAACATCTATCACAGTGATCAGATTATAATTTTGACTATATATTTGAATTCTTTGAAGTGTTTTAAACAAATAAGGTACTCATTGTTAAAAGTTGTATCGCCAACCGTTTTAGAGATAAAAAAGATTTTGTGTTAACAAACACTAAGAACCCCAAAAATTTAATATATCTTTAATTTGCGCCCTCTAACTTTCAAGATACTGAATAAATTATAATTTTGAGTATGTTTTTGAAGTCCTCCAAGTATTTTAATCTAAAAATTACTCTTTATTAAAACTTCTAACCCCAACCGCTCCAAAGATGTGGGGGATTTTTTGTTAAAGATGCAACATTGAACATATCGTACTTCTGCTCCCTGTAACATCTACCACAGTGATCAAATTATAATTTTGAGTACATATTTGAATTCTTTGGAGTATTTTAAACGAAAAATGTACTCATTGTTAAAAGTTGTATCACCAACCGTTTTTGAGATAAAAAAGATTTTATGTTAACAAATACTGAAAACCCCAAAAATTTAATATATTTTTAATTTGCGCCCTCTAACATTCAAGATACTGAATAAATTATAATTTTGAGTACGTTTTTGAATTTCTCCAAGTATTCTAAGCTAGAAAGTACTCCTTATTAAAACTTCCAATCCTAATCTCTAAAGATGTGAGTGATTTTTTATTAAAAATGCAACATTGCATATATCGTAGTTCTGCTCTCTGTAACATCTATCACAGTGATCAAATTATAATTTTGAGTACATATTTGAATTCTTTGAAGTATTTTAAACAAATAAGGTACTCATTATTGAAAGTTGTAACAGCAACCGTTTTTGAGATAAAAAAGATTTAGTGTTAACAAACACTAAAAATGCCAAAATTTAATATATCTTTAATTTGCGCCCTCTAACCTTTAAGATACTGAATAAATTATAAATTTGAGTACGTTTTTGAATCCCTCCAAGTATTTTAAGCTAAAAAGTACTCTTTATTAAACACCACAGAAATCGTTAAATTCAAACTCTCAAATCATATGCTATCAATTTGCTTTACAACCCCAGCAATCCAAAATCCATCAAGTCCCTTGTATCATTAGCGACGCTATTAACCTCCTAAATTCCAATTTCTGAACCTGGTTGCACACAAACTCGAAAAAGCTTTCGATACACTTTAGGCTGAAGGACTAATGAACTCTAGTTACGCATCGCACCTAATTAAACTCATCCACACTCTCCACAAATCACAAACTCTTTAATGTCAGGTTCCGCAAGGAGATGACACAGTTATATATTTCAAGAGAATCGGAAATATAACATAATCCTCTGCCTTTTAGAAAAATACTCTCATAAATAGAAAATAACGGTTAATACACAATATCCGAAGCCGAAGTGTAATGCGTTATCTACCACGTATGGTTTGCCGCAGGGCTTTAATATCTCCCCGCTAGCTTTTAGTCTTTATACTTTGATGTTTCCAAGATATATCCTCTCCTTCTATGCTGACGATATCCAACTTTGTTACGTATTCCATTCTGTTCTTGATATTACAAGTAAAAAGGGCCAAAGAGAATTGAACGTACCTTATAGGAAAATTTTCTAATAATAAGGATGATCGTTATGATTGCTGCGCAGAATATGTTAAACAAATCTCCATTGTTATTAACTTCGTTAAATGTTTGGGTTGCAACTCTAAACGGTTCATTTCCAATTCTGGGAAGTGTTGCATGATCATAATTTTATCCTGCATTCTGATCTTGAAACTTCTCCTATCTAATTGTGAGAACAACTATGGATCTTGTACGACGTAAGGTGTGCCTGGATGAAAGAACACCTCTTTAGAGGTAAAAGGAATTGATATGGGAGTAATAAAGTCTGTAATGTAAGATTCGGGAGGGGTGTTCTGATCTCAAAAAATTATGGCAATAGAAAAAAGGATAAAATGTCTAGTCAGAATCTTCGAAGATACAACTTCAAATGCTATACAGGGTTTTCTTAAAGGTTCTTGAAAGATTTTCTTGGCTACTATTTCTGCATGCATTTCTTATCCGCTCTTTCATGTTTGCTTAAGGACGCCCCAGAAAAAAAAAAATCAAGAGGTGTTAAATCAGGTGATCTGGCAGGCCAAGAAATTGGACCTCCCCTTCCAATCCATCGCCCAGCATAATCCCAATATCAAATATGTGAAAAATATGCTGGACACCCATCATTTTGCAGACACATATTTTGTCTTTCTTCCCTGATCAAACCTACAAGTAACGTTGGTAAGACGTCATCTAAAAAATTTCGGTAATTCTCCCCATTCAGCATACCATCAATAAAGTATGGACCGATCAATTTATCACCAATTATGCTACACCAAACATTAACCGACCAAGGTCGTTGATGTTCTACTACACGCAACCATCTCGGATTTTCAATGCTCCAATAGTGCATATTATGTCTATTGACTTGTCTTTTGTTTGTAAAAGTAGTCTCATCCGAAAATAGCACGTTACCAAAGAAATTGACGTCCAACCGCATTCGTTCTTGTGCCCATTGACAAAATATTAATCGATTTTCAAAATTACCTTCATGAAGTTCTTGATGCAATGAAATGTGGTATGGGTGATACTTGTTGCGCTTTAATATTCTTAAAATGCTGGTCGTCGAGTGGTAACTTGAGGATTTACCTCAACGCTAGCTAACACCGCAATTTCTTTTTCTTCCGTACTTACAGTTGCTCGCCGAGTTCTTTTTTTTTGATTCCACTTTTCCGGTGTAAGTGAAATCATTCACAACTCTGTAAAAGGTACTTCTCGAAGGCATATTTCGATTAGGAAAACGTTCTCAATACAAAGCTATCAGCAACCATAAATAAAAATCATTTCTACTTTTTCTGAAACACTTAGGCTATTCATGATTAACACTTAGTTTAAACACTTTGCCTTAATGTAAAACGATGGAATGAATTCAGAATTTGTTGCCAAACAGTTTTTATGCAAATTTAGTTTTACCTGTTACATTTTAAAACAATTCAACCCCAAGTCTCTGAAAGCAAAGAAAGCAAAGAAATATTCTGAAAATGCTGACATAAGCAGTTCCACGAACTCTTGTTTTTTTGTGCGTTATTCTATTATCAAATTGACAAAGGCGGAGAAATGTCGGAACCTCTTTCAAAAGGTATTTCCGACGAGCCAGGTCACCCGATGTACCTCTTCTGGATTTTTTTTGTTGAGCATTCTTAAATAGAAAAGAAGAACTAAAGATAATGTATCGAAGCGGGTAGGAAAATGTTTAAAAATTCATAAATCTTATTTGT